AGGTTACCTCCTTTATTTGTCACGTGAGCCGTTGCACCCGAGTCGACATAAAAATTTTGGTCACCTTCACTATTTAAGTCCATAGTTGCCAAAGCTTGCTGAGTTTTTGTCTCTTCAGGAACATAATCATACCTATAGTAGCATTTGATTGCAGTGTGATTTGTTCGTCCACAGATTTGACAAGCTTCCTTCTTGTGAGTTGGCTTGCTTGGTCCTTCTCCTTTCCAATTATTAGTGTTATTGAATTTTAACTGAGGTTGGAAATTTGAGGATTGATTATTGTTGTTGTTGGGCCGATTCTGAGAAAAGGAGTTCCAGCTTCTTCCTCTAGATTGGCCTCTTCCTCCTTGTTGATCTCTTCCTCTTCCTCTTTGGCCTAGAAATGCTTGATTGTGGTCAAGTTGTTGCTTTTCGTCCACAAGATAAACATGTTCATGATTCTGTAACGACTTTACAAATTAGTTAAATGATGGATATGGAGGTTTCAATAATACATCAACTTTAAAATCCTTGTTTTTTGGGCCAAGCCCTTTTGAGATTTGGAAAACTTTATCGATATCCGAAAGAGGCTTTCCGATTGCTGCCAGTTTGTCACAAATACTCTTGAAATTTTGAATGTACTCGCCAAGGGACAGCGACCCTTTGGTTAAGGCATATAAGCCAATTTTCTGTTGAGATTCATCTCGTCGGTGTTGGGCAACAGTTGTTCTTGGAGAGAGTTCCAAACTTCATATGCTGTATCCCCACCAAAAATCATGCTAAGCACATCTTCCGTCATGTTTCTAAGAAGCCAGGATGTAAGAAGACCATCATTATTGATCCAAGCAGCAAAATTTAGATTTGTGATTTTCTTACCCTCTGAATCAATGAGTTCATCAGTTGGTTTTTGGATCATTGATGTGGTGTTCTATTCCAAGGCTACGAATCAGGGGAAGAATTTGAGATTTCCAAAGAAGAAAATTGGAGGTAGTCAACTTAATGGAGACTAGGCTAGAGCACTGGTGAAAGAGTTGAATAGAAAGCTTTGGCTCTTCAAAAGATGACATTTTAGAGCTTGATGAAACCTGCTCTGATACCATGATAGATTTCTAATAAAAGGCTTGAAGGATTACACGAATACGTGAGTAAAAAATAGGTTTATAATCTCATGTATTACAAGGATTAATACAATGGTATATATATATATATATATATATAAGAAGGTTTCAACGGTAATAAAAGATTATATAATTTACCCCAATATTTTCATAAATATATGCACATAAAATGATGAATAAACTCTTTTATTAATTAAATAATAAATATCCTATTACATCTCATGCTTCTAGAATACTATTCCCAACATAAATATCACATAATATTTAAATTTTTGGGAAGAAAATATTGGGGTAGGTCCCCATAAATCACTATGGATCTTTTCTAGAGGAAATTGAGAAATTGATTCAAATTTGTTAAAAGAAAGTTTACACCGCTTTCCTAATTGGCAACTAGTACATAAAGTATTCTTAGTCAACCAATTGGAAACATAAATAACTTTATTCTTTTGTAAAGTTTGCAGAAACTTTAAATTTGGATGCCCCATTCGAGCATGCCAAATCTCTGAAGATGCTCCTTGAGATTTGACTGCAGGAAGAGCTTCAAGATTTGCTTCCTCGAGGTGTCCTTTCTCAAGTGCATACAAGTTTCCTTTTCTACACCCCTTAGCCAAAATTTGCTGATTCTGATCCTTAATAACAAAACCATTAGAATTAAATTCAAAAGAACAAGAATTGTCATCAATAAGTTGATTAACTGACAATAAATTCTTTTTAAGTTCTGGCACGACTAAAACATCATTTAGCCTAAGATTGCCTTGCGAAGTCTGAAGCAAGGCATTACCTGTATGAGTGATTGGTAAAGACTATCCATTTCCAACAAAGATTGAATCTTTACTAAAATAAGGTTTTAAAGATATAAGGTTACCTCCTTTATTTGTTACGTGAGCCGTTGCACCCGAGTCGACATAAAAATTTTGGTCACCTTCACTATTTAAGTCCATAGTTGCCAAAGCTTGCTGAGTTTTTGTCTCTTTAGGAACATAATAATACCTATAGTAGCATTTGATTGCAGTGTGATTTGTTCGTCCACAGATTTGGCAAGCTTCCTTCTTGTGAGTTGGCTTGCTTGGTCCTTCTCCTTTCCAATTATTAGTGTTATTGAATTTTAACTGAGGTTGGAAATTTGAGGATTGATTATTGCTGTTGTTAGGTCGATTCTGAGAAAAGGAATTCCAGCTTCTTCCTCTAGATTGGCCTCTTCCTCCTTGTTGATCTCTTCCTCTTCCTCTTTGGCCTAGAAATGCTTGATTGTGGTCAAGTTGTTGCTTTTCGTCCACAAGATAAACCTGTTCATGATTCTGTAACGACTTTACAAATTAGTTAAATGATGGATATGGAGGTTTCGATAATACATCAACTTTAAAATCCTTGTATTTTGGGCCAAGCCCTTTTGAGATTTGGAAAACTTTATCGATATCCGAAAGAGGCTTTCCGATTGCTGCCAGTTTGTCACAAATACTCTTGAAATTTCGGATGTACTCGCCAAGGGACATCGACCCTTTGGTTAAGGCATATAAGCCAATTTTCTGTTGAGATTCATCTCGTTGGTGTTGGGCAACAGTTGTTCTTGGAGAGAGTTCCAAACTTCATATGCTGTATCCCCACCAAAAATCATGCTAAGCACATCTTCCGTCATGTTTCTGAGAAGCCAGGATGTAAGAAGACCATCATTGTTGATCCAAGCAGCAAAATTTGGATTTGTGATTTTCTTACCCTCTGAATCAACGAGTTCATCAGTTGGTTTTTGTGGATCATTGATGTGGTGTTCTATTCCAAGGCTACGAATCAGGGGAAGAATTTGAGATTTTCAAAGAAGAAAATTGGAGGTAGTCAACTTAATGGAGACTAGGCTAGAGCACTGGTGAAAGAGTTGAATAGAAAGCTTTGGCTATATATATATATATATATATATACAAGAAGGTTTCAACGGTAATAAAAGATAGTTTAGGAAAGAGAATATGATTTCTCTGGAGTAGAAATCATTCCTTGATCAGTGGAGAATTAAGAGGAAATTCTTGATAGTTTGAATCCACGTGACAGAGCATAACACTCTACCATATTTGTTTCTAACGGATAGTTGTTGTCCAACAGCTCTCCATGATTCTTGGTTAAGTCAACTATTGTGACTTGGCATTGATTATTTGTCTTATTACATCTTTCCCAACTTCTAAAAAGTCTTGTAACAGTTTCTTCATGTCTATTTGATTACACTCCAAAACATTATCCTCTTGACCTTCCTTGAAACTCCATTTAGAATTTCTCATCTACTTCAAAATGGTTCTAATCAAAATTATATATAGGATATTAATGTAATATATCTTAAAAATAAATATAAATACGAGAATCAATTTTTTACTGAAAAGAGTCTATAGTACTCTTAATCAGCACATATATTCTCCAACTATGCACACAAATTTATTTCTATTCACATATTAAGGAAAACTCATAACAATGATAACATCTAATTCATTATATTGAAAGAATAAGAGCATAATGTTAAAAAAATAAAAAAAATCTAAAAAAACAAACATCATTAAAATCCAAATAAAATATAGCATATCCCATTGAATAAAGACAACTACCATAAATCTGAATTAGAATGAATACGTTATGACAACAATTTAGAGAAAAAGAAAACAAGGAAAGACTTTACAATAAATAGAATATATTCACATTCAATTTAAAAACTCATAGCATTATAATCCATTAGAGAGCTTCTCAAATTACCATTTAGCCAATTCAGTCATTAAAAAAAAAAAAATTGGAACTTCTCTAATAACATACAACGATATTACACAAGTAAAAACAAATTTATGACTAGTAAATTGTAAAAAAAGAAAAAAAAAACACCATATTTACAATATTAAATAAATACAATTGAAAAATGAATTCAAAGTTGAACATCGTTACAAAACTCCATTTCCATCTGATTCTCCCAAACTTTTTTTACCTTTACAAAAATTTGACTAATCAATTAATATCAATTATATATTGATACAAAAGACTCATCTAAAGATACGATTAACAATCTATGTTTTTGCAAAAGTGTATGAATCAACAAATAGATTATTTACGGTCAAGCAAAAAAAAAAAAAGGATTACTTACGAACTAACTTATAAATTTATAAGAAAGAATAAGGGAGTAAGAGATTCGTCCACAAAATTAATTTTAAAATTAAAGTAAATTTAGACCATGTACTTTCAATCTTCAACAATAGAACTTACAAATTATAAATAATGTGAAGTTTTTCTGTCCGTGAAAAGTGAGCTGAGTGGAGAGAGAGTGCTCTATTTATCTTTTTTTTAGCAAAAAAATCGCCTAACTTTATCTGTCAATTTAAAATGAAAAATGAAGACAATTTAGTAATTTAAATAAAAAATGAGGACAATTCAATAATTTAACTTCATTTATGTAGTTATTCATATTTTATTTTCAAAAATTCACTCACTTTTAGAGAAATTAAATATAATGAGACCCATCAATAAAAATTTTTATTCAATTTTTCTTTCATTTCTAATTTTCTTTCTACCAAATAAACTAATTTACCAACTTCTATCCCAAAATCCCTCTAATATTTTCTCTCTTTCTACTTTTCATTCGTACCAAACACATCAAGCCAATGGTATTTATCTACGCTCCAGTTTTCTGGAGTTTGTTTCCTAAAACCACATGCATTTTGTTGTCGTTTATCCTCATTCATTTTTTTTTTTTTAAAACTCCAGTCTGACACAAGAAACGACATCTTTTTGTTTCAATATTTCATTATATTTTTGCCTTCATATTAAATAGGATTCACAACGCCGTGTCGTTTATACCCAAAGACAAGAAACGAATGCGTCACCCATCAATCCTTGAAAATTGAAATATCAGCTGCTTTTGTCAGTTGTCTCTCTGTTCTCAGTCTCACCGCGCCTTTTTAGGCTTCCGCGCCGATTGAACGGCGATCAGAATAATCAGAAATCGCCGGCGAGAAAATGGCATCGATAACGATTCGATTTTAAATCCTATCCCCTGGCGGTGGGACCTGCCGGAGCACCAATGGGGAATCGAACGGAAGTCTCTGACATTGATGTACTCTGGTAAGCCGTAAGCAAACTTGCTTTATCAGAAATATCGTACCTTTCTGATTCCGTTGTCTCGTCGAAACTCGAAATTGACTATTTATTGATTATTAATGCTTAATCAGATGATCGGATTTTGGGTTTCGTCTGTTTTTGGAAAACTATTAAACTTTTTTTTTGGATAATTAATTGGCAATTCCATTTGATTGTTAGAGGCTCAGATGAAAACCATTGTTTACTCTTTTTCCAGAAGATGAAAAGAGAGAGAAAGAGAGATCCTCTTGGACCTACGATTTTTGACCCAAGTATTGTTTACGGATGATTTTGAAATACTAGTGTATTTGAAGAGTAGAAATAAAACAATATTTTCAGAGAGAGAGAGAGAAAGAGAGAGAAACCCTTGCATTTTAGAGAGAGAAACGAGAGAAACCCTTGCAATTTTCAACTCTGCAAAAGAAAAGGACACAGAGAGAAAGACGCTTGTTTCTTTGTTTCTACAATGGCTTCTGGATCCTCCACTGATTTTGGATTTTTCAAATTAATTTTGGAAACAGCTCTTCGGAAAAAAATGCTAGTAAGTAATCCCTTTCTTGTTGTCGACGGATAGTTCTAATTTATATGTAGCATATATAATCTAAAGAGTGTGTTTTTCTTTTTCATGTTTTTATACGAATATAAAGAATGTTACTCGTGTTATTGTTATATAATCTGCATCAGATTTTTGTTTCCTTTAGTCAAATGCATTCTTTGAAACACCCGTTCTTGAAACTTTTATCAAACAATAGCCTGGTGTGTTGTCTTTGGTGGGTTTATGAGGAAGAAGCTAAGGTTGTCCTAGATGGAGCTTTTATGTGCTTATTGGCCAAACTGGGTGTCGTTATTTACTGGTTCATGTTCCTGAAAATATCTCTGTACTCATTAAACTCTACTCTCTCCCACATTTGTGTTGTAGTATCTTTGTATTTATTTCACATCAACTCACCTTATTGTCGTAGCTTATGCCTAAATACTGGAAGATACTTCGCCGGTTTTTTTTTTTTTTTTTTTTTTAAATGAAATAATAATCTGGCGTGTTTCCTTTGGTGGGTTTATGAGGTAGGAACTAAGGTTGTCCTAGATGGAAGCTTTTATGTCCTTCATGGTCAAAGTGTGTGTTGTTTTTTACTGGTTCATGCCCCTGGAAATGTCTTTGTACTCACTAGAATTCACTAGACTTCTTTCCCACTTTTATATTGTTCTATCGTTGTATCTGGTTTACATTATCTCACCTTATTCTAGTAGCCTATGCTTCAATACTAGAAGAGATTTCAGTTGATTATGTGTTACTGTTATTGCTTTAATTGTTTTTTTTCCCTGTTCAGTAATTTGTTTTTCTTGTTTTTATTCCTGTTCCTTTTCCTTTGCTCTGGTTCTGCTACTTTATTTATGGGATAACAAAATGGGGAAAAGAAAATGAGGAATAAAAAGAACTCTTGTTTTTCTTTAACGCGTGTAACCATTAATCCTACAACTTAATCAAGAGAAGATAATAGAAACATGGTTGATCTTGTTCCGTAGGAAACTCATGAACTTACTGACTTAGTTTAAAAAAAAAAAAAAAAAAACGTAGAAGCCTGTACGTCACTTTTCAATCTTTTATTCTTGTCATAATCGTGAGGCATGCACTTTGTTTTAGTACTAAACGTTTGTACGTACACTTTGGTTATTTAATGCAATTTCAGCATTGGAACATATTGTTGGATTTTTCTAGATAAAATTGATGCCAGTTTCGGTGTAATATCGTCTTGCAAAAGTATTGTTTCCTTTGTAATCTTATATAGTCTTCGTCCACATGATGTTTTTGCCGGTTTACCCAAAAGGAAGATCACCCTGTATACTACACTTTTCCAAGTTTCCTTTTAATTAAGCTGCGAGATCACCATTACATTGCAGAATCCTTTTTTTTTTTTTTTGTAACTGAATTTCTTTCCATTTACCTTCTGATGGTTTTCTCTAAATTCCGTATCTGAAAAATGCTAGCTGTGATGTATGCAGGAACTTCCAAAAAAGTTTGTGAGGCTGTATGGCAAAACTCTATCGAGTTCAGTGTGTCTCAGACCTCGTTGTGGTTCAAAATGGAAAATAGGTTTGGAGAAAAGAGAGGACAAGGTGTGGCTGTGCCAGGGTTGGCCAGAATTTGCCAAGCTCTATGCCTTAGACTTCGGGCACTTCCTTTTCTTTAAATATAAAGGAAATTCTCAGTTCTATGTTTCAATTTGTGACATCTCTGCTTGTGAGATACATTATCCTTCTATTCCTGCCAATCTGAATGACCCTAATGTCTATGTGCCCAAGAAGGAAAAAACCATTGGTTATGTTGAGTCACTTCAAATGTTTGGCAGTTCATCTTCTGAGGAGAAATATATACCACCATCTTCTCCACCTCAGAAGAGAACGAGAACCAATGCTAGTGGTGAATGTCAGAAAGAAGGAACCCACCGTATTCGTAAAGTTAAAACTGAATGTACTAGCGATGATGACTCTGGCATTCATTCATGGGGTGCAGCTGAAGTGACAAGATCTCAACATCGTCAAGGGAAAGGTGTTGCCAAGAAAGGTAATTTAGAGGTCAAAGATCTGAAATTTTGCTAAAAAATGAGTTAGTACTGCTTATCTACTGCTTTTGTGTGCAGGAAAGTATGGAAAATTCCAATCCCGAAACCACACATCTGCTGGGCTACGCACTCTTAGAGATGGCAAAACTCTTGAAGATGCCAGCAAATTCTCTTAAAGAAAACCCTTCTTCAAACCATTCGTGATAAATCCTTATAATGTGGTAAGTTACATTTTCTATACATATTAACATGCTTCAAATAAAAATGTGTATTCCCTCATAATAATCTCTTTATATCCGTTATTATCGTTATTATTATTGCTGGATCTCTTTACATAATTTAATTGGTAATGGAAGGTTATAATCCTATGAATAGACATAAATCACTAGCTAACATCTTTGAGAAAATGGGATAGTTTCTTTGCCAGAATCAAATTATCTTATTTTCCGCATCACTTTTAGAGATTAACAGTGGCAGTTTGTCAACCATCTTCTTTTTTCTCAGCGTTTGCCGACTTCCTTTGTGAAGAGACATATTGCACCAGATGCACGAAGGATAAAACTTTAAGTAGGGACTGGATCGTGGCGCGTAGAGTTATTAAATTACAAATTGGGATATTTTCTCGGCTCAGGGTACTCGAGATTTCTGACGGGGGAACTCTCTGCAGCGAGGAGATGTCTGTATCTTTGAGCTGAATGCGAGGAAGAATAAGAGCAAAATTGTGCTCAAAGTTTCCATTTTCCGAAGTAATGTGCTTTAATTGGCAGTCCTTGTTATAATGTGCTTTATTATGTGCCGTAGCGTCTGTATTTTTTCATGTCATGTGGATTTGAACATGGTTTCAACCAAAATGCACTAGTCACTTAAATGCTCTTTGACAGAAATATATGTATTCTGTTCTTTGCTCCATTTTCTTCTTTAGCATTATCTTAACTTTCATTTTACTATTTGACTATTTTGTCCGGTCATGTGATCCAAAATTTAGGGTACTGATTTAGATTCAGAAGTTAATTGGGTGTGTAATAATGCCTATAGTGAGCATAATAGGGAATTAAAATTTTAAATCTGAGACTGACTTGTTAATTTTATAAGAATTGTAGGGTGGTTTGCTCTCTAAATTGCGATTGATGGCCTTCTCCTAGTTGAAAATTTTGCAACATGTGTTCTAGAAATTTGAGTTGTATTCTAATCACACTCACATTAGCAATAGTCAATGCGTGTACACATCAAGGCGCGACATGTAATAATCACTAATGCTCTTACTCATTCTTTTTCTTACTTCAAAAAAAAAAAAAAAAAAAAAAAAAAAAAAGGAAAATTTTTATATTTTATGAGAACCATGTTTTAGTAAAGTTTGTCATGTATATCTATGACGAACTTACGGTAAGATTACATCCCAAACAAGTAAAAACATACTTATAGTGATGAGAGGTAATGAGAAACATAATTATAATAATAATTAGAGTTAATCATGAAAAGATCTCTTGCAGAAAACTATGTTTTAATGGGCATGTTATTGTCCCACAAATCGTCATTGGCTATTTATGTTGCCTTAAATTAATCGACAACGTGATTATAGTCAATTGTTTAGGATCATGGAGGCCAATTATCCACTAACTGCAATTACGTTTTGCTTTTTTTAAATTAAATCCATCTTTGAGGTGGTAATAATAAGCAATTCCACGATGAATCATTTTAGTATTATATATACACATGCATAGAATTATTTCGTGTGTCATCTTATTTGTGTTCTTATTTGTCTCTTTTATAATATCATGTCACGTCAATTAAAGTTTCATATGACATCAATTAAAAGGTCATGATAATTAATTGATGTGTCAAGTTCTTATTACGGGGCAAAAAAAAAAAAAAAGACATAAGCCAAATCTTACATGTACCTACTTTATTCCCTCTCTTTTTGATAGACAATTTCTATTTGCCTTACATATTTGTGTTTGTGCATAGTTACTTTATAATTAAGTTTATAGACAGAATTGGATGGAGATGATATTTTGAACATTTTTCTATATTTTGAGGGTGTTTTGAATTGTTTTAAAAAATTAGAACGTACTTTGAAACAAGATACATTTTCAGGGGTACTTATGAAAATAACTCATACCTAATTTCAATTTATTTTCAGAAATTTTTAACTAACAAAGGGGATATTTTTAAAAAAAAAAAATCAAATAACAGACTACTCAAAAGAAAAAAAAACAAATAGCAGAGGGGATGGTTTTTTTTTTATTTTTATTTATTTTTACATGAAATGTATAATGAATGAAATAAAAAAAAGGATTTAAAGGAGTTAAATTTGGTTTTTTTAATTCAAAATTCAGGAGTCAATATACAATGCACACAACAATTGGTCTATATGCTACAATTTCCCAATAAAAAAGGGGAAATTTGCACGTATTATCAAAAACATCATTTATTTTATTTTTTCACTAACTTCAAACTTTGAATTAGACTTGACTAGGTTAATTAACCGATCATTATATTAAACATTTCTTATTTTTCGGAGGGATTATTAAACACGTCTTAAGGTTATTAATTTGAAATTAAATATGTTATATTAGGGCATACGCTCTTAATATAAGTGCTTTTAAAAAAATTAATTAAATAGTAAATGTTTCATATCCTCTGGCCTTCCGATGGCATAATACATATTTTTAAGAGGAAATAATTACAAAAATATCTCGTATGTCGTATGGAAATGTTGCTTTTTTACCCGTAGTTTAGAAAAACAAATAAAAAAAATCCTCTTATTCTACAAGTCACATAAAAATCCTCTCTTATTATAAGAAATGGTAAAATTTGTTATAAAAATAGTCAAATCTAAAGATTTTGATATAATTTCATGTAAACTATTATTATTAAAATATTTTCTCTCTCTAAGAATAAAAGTAGTCATAAGAAACAAAATGCAAGAGAAAAAAATAAAGTTCTCTTAAGATTATTCTCATTCTGATATTTCACCTTTTTAAAACTCATTGTCGTTTAGCAGGAAGATCGATATTTTGTGGTCCATTTAAGAAAAATGCGGCGTTAACAAAGATTGCTATATTGTATCTTTGATTCCAATATCGTCACAAGGTTTACTTTAAATTTTGCATGGTTAAATTAGAGAAAGACGTACAATTCTCTTCCAAAGTTCTATGTCGTTTGTTGGAAAGGAACATGTCGTTTGGATTTTATAGTTTCTTTTGTTTTCCTCCTTGGAAGAAACAAATGTACATAGTATTGTCGTTCGAAAAAAATAAAATAAAACACGTGCATATTTTCATAGTCTAGGATTTTGCAAAATTTCTCTCTTATTAAATTTAAAACGAAACAAACTATAGATATTTATTTACGTTCCAATTCCCTGGAGTTTATTTCCTCAAACCAACCACCACATGCATTTTGTTGTCGTTCAACTGTGAACTACGTTTGACATTCGTAATTTGCCGTCAATTATCATCAAAGAACAACATGCCTTATGCATTTTTGCCTCCCCAAAAATGATGTCGTTTATCATCCTCATTCAAATAAACGACAACATTTTATTTCATTATTTTATTATTTTTTGATTTCGTTTTGTATAGAATTCAAAACGACGTATCGTTTATTCCCAAGCAATCATCAACTCCTACCCAATCAGCTGCTTTTGTCCATTCCTCTCACCATTTTTCGCGCCGTTTTGAGTTTCTGCGCCGATGCGCCGTTTTAAGTTTCTGCGCCGATTGAACGGCGATCGGAATCATCAGAAGTCACCGGCGAGAAAATGGCATCGATAACGATTCGATTTCAAATCCTCTCCTCTGGCGGTGGGACCGGCCAGAGAACCAATGGGAGAATCGAACGGAAGTCTCTGACGTTGCCCTACTCTGGTAAGCCGTAAGCAAAACTTGCTTTATCAGAAATATCGTACCTTTCTGATTTCCTTTGTCTCGTCGAAATTGATTATTTGTCGATTCGTCATTATGAATGCTTAATCAGAAGATAGGATTCTTAAGATTTCGTCTGTTTATGGAAAACTAACCTTTTGGATTATAGGAAAAGCTTCCAATTTATCCTTTTTTTTTTTGGATAATTGATTTACAATTCAATTTGATCGTTAGGGTCCAGAAGAAGAAAAGAAAGAGAAAGAGAGACATCTGTCCTCTTTCACCTAGGGTTTTTTACCCAAGTTTGTTTACGGACGATTTTCAATTTTGAAGAGAGAGAGAGAGAGAGAGAGAGAGAGAGAGAGAGAGAGACTTGCAATTTAGAGAGAGAAACGAGAGAAACCCTTGCAATTTTCAACTCTGCAAAAGAAAAACAGAGAGAGAAAGAAGCTTGTTTCTTTGTTTCTACAATGGCTTCTAGTTCCTCCACCGATTTTGCATTTTTCAGGATAATTTTTAAAGAAATTCTCAAGGAAAACAAGCTTGTAAGTGATCTCTTCCTTATCTTGTGGACGGAGAGTGCAATATGGTTTAAATGTTCAGCCCCTGTTGTAATTGCTAAGTAGAATTGATTTTAAAGCTAGTTGAACTAGAGCACTTATAGGTGGTAGTTTTTCTGTATTTTTCATCCTCATGTGGATTTAGACATGGATTTAGACTGCAAATATGAATTCTTTCTTTTAGTCCAATTTCTCTTTTAGCATTATTTTAACTTTTTACTATTTTGTTAGTTTTGTCTGGTGTTATTATTCCAAATGTGTGCTGCTGATTCATATTATAATCCTTACAATTAGCATGACATTCAGGAGACAGGTTTCATAATATGACACTGATAGGTACCCTTAGTTGTGTAGATGTGGTTTTTGTTTTTTTTTACTAAGTTTGATTTAGGTGGGATAAAGGGAAGTTGAGGAACTGAGGGAACGGGTGAATTGTTTTGTCAAGTACTATAGGGCTTAGTACACACTCTAAGAAGGAAATCTTCAATGTGCACTACGTTAATTTGTTGGTACCAGTTTGTCTGATCTCATAACAGGCAATCATTACTCTGTAATCTCCCTGCTGGTGATTTAGCATTTTGAGCAGCTCAGTAGAATAAAACCTTCTGTTAAACATACATACATACATGTGTGTGTGTGTCTCTCTCTCTATATATATAGGAATGAAATCTGAGCGAATGGTTAAATCATTTCTTGCTTCAGCACAGGAGGAGGAAAAAGAAAATAAAACTAGTTTGCTATGGATTTCTATATTGTTTGCTATAGTTTCTATATCTGAGCATGATAGGCCTAATTACTATGTCTTTTACTATAGGTGTCTGAGTATTATGCTTTCCTTTAAGTGTCATCTTGAGTTTCTTTTCTTTTTTTTTTTCTTCATTGAAAAATCAAGTCGCTTCTGCATAAATTTCCGCAAACCAAACAGAAAGATTATTCTTTTCTCTTTTTTGATGTGCTTCTGTGTTTCTAACCCATCCAAGGTGAACTTGAACTTAGATAGCAATGCCTCAGAGTTTAAGAAGAAAATGCATTAAGTTCACAACAATCCTTATGGTACCACTACCGAGAAATGAGATTCACATTAAAAAAAAAAAAAAAATTGTCATATTACATGACATTTATATACACTAGTTGGACATAGAATTGAAAGATAAATTGGATAAAGCATTCCTATTCATTTGTGTAGCATAAAACTATTCCATTGGACTTATCATTTCTGTAGTATATGACCACTCCATTGAGAGATTCACCTACCAGAGAAAATTTACAGATGTCTAACTCTCGTTTGTCATTTGAATAACCAAGGATCAAAACTCTTCCCAATATATAAAAGAGGGAGTGTCGGTTTGCAAGTTTATCTTTTCATTTTACAATTTCAATGTTCAAAGTTTGTAAGCAACCGTATATCATGTAAGATGCAGACATATATTGTTTCATCTTGCAATACAATATTTAAATTTGTAATTAATTGTATTAAGTTCGTTTGCAAGTTTCTTTCTCTCTCTCTCTCTCTTTCGGTTTTTTTTTTTTTTGGCCACAAGTATTGTTTCCCTTCGTAATCTTAGATAGTCTTCAGTACGTAACTCTTTTCCAGTTACCCATAAAGTAGATCACACTATACATTACTGCTCCATGTTTTCTTTTTAATTGTTGTGTTTGTATTACATTGCAGAATCTGCTTTTCTCTATGTGGAATTGAATTTCTTTCCTTTTACTTTCTGATGGGTTTCTCTAAATTAAAAATGTTAGTTGTGATGTATGCAGAGACTTCCACGGAAGTTTGTGAGTCTATATGGAGACACTTTATCACGTGTGGTGTTTCTTATACCTCCCTGTGGTTCAGAATGGAGATTGCATTTGGAGAAAAAGGACGGAAAGGTGTGGCTGCAGCGGGGTTGGCCAGAATTTGTGAAGCACTATGCCATAGGCGTCGGGCACTTGCTCTTTTTTAGATATAAAGGAAGCTCTAAATTTGAAGTGTCAGTTTGTGATATATCTAATTGTGAGGTAGACGAGCCTGATGCTAGTGGGCCCAAGAAGGGAGAAATTGATGTTGATGGTAATACAATTAAGATGCTTGAGAGTTCAGATGATGATGATTCAGTCCATATCATTGAGCATTTATCATCTCAGGAGGAATATCTGCAACCATCTTCTCCACCACACAAAAGAATGGGAACTAGTGGTAAGGCCAGTAAAGAAAAATCTGCCACAAAGAGAGGGGGGGCAGCAGAGGCTCGCGGGAAGCACCGGTCTTATAGACATAGTAAAGCTTTTAAAGCAGCCAGCAAAATCTTCTCAGAAAAGCCCATCTTCGTAGCAACTGTGACTCGTATTCATAATACGGTAACCTAAATTTTCTATACAAATTAATATGCTTCAAATAAACATGTATATTCCCTTGTAATAACCGCTTTCTATTATTAAATTGATCATGGGAGACTATGGTTCTATTAATAGACATCAATACTTGGCTAACATATTTAAGATATTTGTTTGTTTCCTTGCCAATATCAACACGTTTCATTTCCTACTTCACTTTCGCAGGTTAATAATGACAGTTTTTCTCCTATCTTCTTTTTGCAGCGTTTGCCTGCTACTTTTGTGCAGAGACATATTGAACAACGGTCACCAATGGTGACACTTAAAGTGGAGTCTAGATCCTGGTATGTGCGGTTTTTAAGTTGCAAAACAGGGTATTTTCTGGGTAAAGGATACTGTAGATTTCTGAGGGAGAACTCTATAAGCCTAGGAGATGTCTGCGCCTATGAGCTGAATGAGAAGAATGCCCAGGGAGAAGTTGTGCTGAAAGTTTCCATTTTTCGTCAAGCTGAATATTGACTAGTCCTTTCAAGGTTTAAGGGTTTTTTTTTTTTGGAAGATTGCTGAACTTTTAAGAACTTTAAGGCTGTAGTTTTTCTGTGTTTCTCAATATCATATGGATTTAAACATTGTTTCTACCGGTTTGTGGTGGTCACTGATGTTCCTAGACTGCACACTGTTAGGCCCCATTTCTGTTTTAGCATTATTCTGGGCTTTCATTTTACTATTTGATTGGTTTTTTGGGTGGTGATTCCCAATTTAGGCTACTGATTCTAGGGTCAGAAGTGAATGGCCTCCGAATATTCTCATAATCCTTAATTTAGCAGGGTGCAAATGAAAATTTTGACATACTAGATTGGTTCTGAATATCCCACGTTTTCTTCTTTTTATTTTGTTTTGTTTTATTTTTTTTATTTTTTATTTTTAGACAATTCTAACTCCATGATATGATGATGTCCATAAGATAAGTTTATGTGGGATCCAAATTTCTCATAATATTCTTTGTCCAACCAGCTTTCAGGTAGAGCCATTCTGATGTAATACGACTGAGAATTTATGTTTAGTTTATGACCTTATTATGGATTAAAAGTTCTAAGAGTTTCGGACAATATATATACCCTGGTTGGACATGTTATTGGATAGATAAATTGGATACATGTTTATCTTTTAAATTATGAATGGTAGGTAAAACTACTCCACTGGGTTTAGTATGTAATTAGTGTGAATATAGCTAGTTCTTGTTGCAAATCCTTTTTCTTGCCTACAATGTGCTTACATTTAATAATAAATTGCTAATTTTATTTTAGGTTTTTTCTACAATTTTTCTGCCAAAAACTTCAAAGTCCTTAGTTTTCACTTTTCAGCCGTCAAGCTGCAAAACCAAGATTAAATTATGTTATTATTCTTCTTATTATTATTTTTGTTTTTGCTAAATGATTAAAATATGTATTGTAGTAATTCTAGAAATACTCAAGTGGTTACTACTAGAAATACTCAAGTGGGTTCGTCAAATTTTGTTGGCCAATTAACCTGAGAGCTTTCTTGAAAAGAATAAAAATTGCAAATTAATGTAGTTTATGATTTTTTTTTATGGGGGCAGATTTTGAATTTCTAATGACCAATTCTCAAAATTGTCAATTGTAAAAGAGATCAACTAAGTGCCATTTTACACCTAAACTTTCTTACACACATTACTGTAATAAACGACATGTCGTTTATATTGCTGACGTCTGTTTACAAGGACAACATGTATATGAAAACATGGCTGTATATTGGGTTATATGTATATGTACACGTGTTAGCGTGAAGCCTTACATTATTCATATGTCAAATATAGGAATGCAATTCAATTTTTTATTCTATGTCATATCAAAGAAAAAAGTTTCATTCTTTTAGGGAAAAGGTAAATGTTACACCCAATACTAAAAAAAAAAAAAAAAATGCTAAGCTTCTTTACTTAAGTTAGCATACACACGTTAAAGGAAACATAGAAAGAGTGAAATTCAAGATAAAAAAAAATAGAAAAACAGTTCGAAGTAATTATAGGATTTTCATTTTTTTTCCCCTAATCTATAGAAAAACAGTTTCTATTGCACCCCCTTACTTTAATGTCATTAACGTAATGATATTGGACTTAACTTATTGCTTTCACGGTCATTAAGTTGATGATTTCAATTTCATTAACTTAATGCTGATGGACTTATTAACATATAACTTTAGTACTTCCACTACCATTAAGTTTTGAGTTTCACTGTAATTTACTTTATGCTTTAACTTTCATTAACATGATATTGGACTTTACATAATGACATAACCTAATGCTTTCATTGTCCTCCAGTTTTTGAGTATCACTTACATTTACTTAAATGCTTTCATTTTCATTAATTTATTGATGGCAAATCTCCTCTTGCCCTTGGAAGATAACAGATTCTTGAGACCAAAATTTCATGAAACTCGAAACCAAAGCGTAGGAAGTGTTTGGTACAATGCTAAGTTTTAGAGTCAAGAATTGGCCCCGTTCTTTTCGTTGATTCAAATTTTGCTACAGTAAAAAACTCTCAGAAACAGTCACATCTAACTTTTTTGTTACAGTAAAAAGCTCTTATAGAACATCATATCTCAACTCGAATTAAAAATTCAAGTTAGCGAAACCAAACAGGCCTAAGTGAACGAGGAATTATCTAACCAACTGAGAAAACTTTTGTGATACTAGTCAAGTAGTGACGATTCGAATGTTTGCCTGAAAGATGGAGTAAAGGACGTCTATTGCCACTACTTTAGGCATATTGTTACGTTAACTCTGAGCAACAAAAACATTTATTACGTTCTAATGAATTTTAAAACTTTAACCAAACGTGCAAAAGTCCCACATCAGAAAGACAACAAAAACTTTTTCCTTAGGTTATTCACTCATCTTTAGACTTGGTTAAACGCCCCTTTTTAAGTAGATTCTTTTTTTTTTTTTTTTTTTTTTTTATAGTATTGGCTTAAAAAAAAAAAATATTATTTTTTAAAGGTTTAAAGCGGTTTAATACAAATGGGAACCAAATCACAAGAACACTTGAAGCCTCAAGAGATACCGTGTAATCGACATTTTCAATAGTGATCGTCTTGAATGTAAATGTAAATCTGTTGTATAATTGCAGAATGAGAATTCGTTTCTTACACAAGCAAAAATATATACGGTTGATAAGCTTATAAACAGGCTATAAATAACTCGACAATTTGCAGAATTGTAACTAATTACAAAAAAAAAAAAAAAAAAGTTAGAGAAAATATCGGTGCTAGCAGGGGTGTAATTCAACCGGGTAGGCTCAGATTGGGCCGAAAATTGAGCCGAGCCGCACACTGCAGGTTAAAGAAATTTTAGGCCGCAACACCCCCTTAACCCCATAAACCCGTAATCCTTTGGGCGACCTCAAGTAAGCTCAAGTTGGCCGGGTTGGTCAGTTTGGACCTGGACGAAAAATTAGCATTTTACTCACTTCCGATAGAAACCACAAAAAACTAGCATTTTACTCACTTCTTCCAGTGGAAGACGAAACAATTGCCGATACTCTTCACCTCTTAATATTGTTTGTGACTGAAATAAGAAAATTAGAGAACTTTTACTAGAGAAACTATTTGCATTAACCATTCGTGTGCTACATTGGCAAAATCCTATCTTATTAGTCATCAATCGTTTCAATTTCTCATATTATGAGTGAGATTCGTAGTTCATTATCAATTTTTTTTGGTCTAATTGTTAACGGAAAATTTTAGAATAATTTTTATCTTCGAGAAGATATGACATTTTCTTTCCTGCCATGCCTTAATTTAGTACTACTTATCTACTCCTTTTATATACAGTCAAGTCCATGAAGTTCAAATCAGCTGTTTCCCAGTGTTCATGAAGGCCTCGTGTTAATGGCAACGCTTTTGAAGCAGCCAGAAAATTTTCTTCTCTAAAACCTTTCTTCAAAGTAAACGTGAGACATACTTAAAATCCGTTTAGTTTACTGATTCGAGTTTTTAATTTGAGTTGAGATGTAATTTTATGTAAAAATTTTACTGTAACAAAAAAATTAAATACGACTGTTTTTTAGAACTTTTTACTATAACAAAACTTAAATTAGTAAAATGAACGAGACCTGTGCAGTAGCCCAATTTTCTTTACAAATTAACATGCTTCAAATGAAAATATATATTCCGTCGTAACGTCATAATAAGAGACTTTATTTCTAAATATAGACATCAATCCCTAGCTAATAGTAAATGGGTTAATTTCCCAAGATCGGAACATTCTTCTTCCCAATTACCTGAGTTTCCGAAACTAATATGGCGTTGTTCAACTGATCTATATTTTTTTTTCTTTTGCAGTACTTATCGTGTACTTTTGCAGTACTTAACGTGTACTTTTACAAGTAGAGAAAAAATGAGCCAAAGACTCCGTAGAATATATTTAAAAAAACTCTATAAATAAGTAAATAAATAAAGATATTTAATTTTAATAATACAGTTGAAATCTAACATTCTTTTTTTAAAAGAAAGTATAAACTTTAAATTATGTATTACATGCATTAACAAGTAATTTATACTATGATAAATTACTTACACAGCCACAAGCCTTAACACCACTGAAGTGGCCTGGTCTGAGTTTCAAATCCCGCCCTCAAGGATATAATCTTCATATCTTATCTAGGCCATCATCGGACTTACCAATTCGCAAGATATCTTTTCTTAAGAAACTATTCATTAAAACTTAAAATCAGTTCATTATGAGATCAATAGCAATAATCAAGTTATCGTCTTAAAACACTTTTCTTTATCAAACATATTTTTGTCTTTTACAAACATTTACATAGCCAAAAAACTTTAAAACATGCTAACAAGGATAGAGGAAGAATATCCTTTAATCTACGGATAACTGCACAGTACCAGTAGACTTTTCAACGGAGTAGAATTAGCACCAACGGAGGACACCATTGCGTTTAGCACGTTGAAATGAGTCATCATATGGACTCGGATCAATGAACGGACGGAAGCCAGAAGGCTGCTGAACAGAAGCTCGGCAGAATCCGACCACTAGCGGCGGCGGATATTGTCGGAGCATATTTTCGTGACCGACAATATTTTCGTGACAGACTTAGGTCCCCCCCCCCCCCCCCCCCCCCCCTCTATCTCTCTTGCTCGCGCGCTCCTCCCCCCCCCCCCCAATCAACCTTTTTGAGTTCAATGGTGCTATCAATTTCAGACAATTCAGCCTCTAAAAGTACAGATCGAGACTGATAACGTCAGTAAAATTTGGCGACTCAAATCTCAGATTTTCAGCAATGAAATCTTAAAATTGGTTGAGGGATTTTCATACTCATGATCTTCTTAGTGTTTTGACAATAAAATCACGACGATCCAACAGTTAGATCGTCGGAACCACCCCATACCTCCTCAGACGGTGGTGGCTCCATTTTCCAACCAAACGGAGACGACGGAGGCTAAAACTGGTCGGGATCAACTCGTCTTTGAGTTCTAAACCTAGTAGTGAGGGTGGTGTCAACTAAAATTGGCCGGAGATGGAAAACTGAAGATGGCGGCGAGCGGCTTTTCCGGCGACTTCGACGGCAGCGTTTCGGCCAATGACAAGCTGCAAAAATGGCCGGCCGGGTTATCCTCGTCTCTTCATTCTAAATCTATAGGAACTGAAATCGCCTCAATTGGATATCAGACGGAGGAGATATTGCGATCGAAAGTTTCGATTATTTTCAAAACTTCAGCCGATGATTGCGGCTTCGTTCGGAAGAGTTTGAGGTCGTGTGACCTGTCAAAATACTTAGCTCATCGAGAGCTTT